TCCAAATAAGTTCACGCAAACACTCAGTTTTTTCGTCAACAAACGTGCACTGAAAAGAAAAATTTCCCCAAAAGGTCATTTCCATGAACTAAGCAAATTAATTGCAACTGTTACCCTGGAGGCAAAAAACCAATAGCTGCTGCCCAACAGCCTTGACCACAGGCTAATATGGCCAATAAATTCACAACATTTGGAAGAATGGTTTAAAAGAATATAGAAGATAAAGCTTATAAAAAAAGAATACGAAGTAGATATTTTAAAATAAAACTAGTAGTGGTGCTTATGAGATCGTTGGCTGAATTGGTGTTAAAAGAAGTATATTCCTAGTTACATCTTCAGAAAAATGGTGAGTAATTCAAGTTACTTTCACTAGGCATGTTGATTAATGATGTGTTATTTTTTATTTAAATTTCAAAATAGAATGGTATAAGAAGGTATTTAGTTAGGATATGCAATGGTGTGGAAATATGTGTCGTAGTTACTGCTAATATATGAGTTCTACCAGTGCTGTTGTGGAACTTCCTTGTTTTCTTTATTTTTCGATGTGTAATACGAAAAAAATAGAAAGGATTGTGTAGAAAACAAAAAAGTCAACATGAAGTCAAAAGACGTTTATGAAAGCAGATATTTACTAAAGTTTTTTTTTGGTTGATATTTTACTGCACTTGTCAAGTCAATATGCACTTGTCATTTCCTGCTTATTCACATTCTTATTTCAATAAGACTTGTTTGCACAGGAAGCTGGTGTTGAAATTGATCCTTTAGGGGACCTGAACACAGAATCAGAGAGAAAGCTTGGCCAGCTTGTTTTGGAGAAGTAATTTGCATTTTTCTGACCACTTTATGAAACTATTTTTCTTTTTCTTTTCCACCTTCTTATACTCCTTTTCTTATGCCTCTGTTTGAGTATGATATTGTGTATAAAATGATCTGTACTTTCTACTGAATGTAGGTATGGGACTGAGTTCTATATACTCCATCGCTATCCGTTGGCTGTCCGACCATTCTATACCATGCCTTGCAGTGATGATCCAGCTTATAGTAATTCATTTGATGTCTTCATTCGAGGCAAGCACTGTTTGATTACCATTTTCTTTTGGAGTTTTTGTTTTTTTGTTTTAAATTCATTTATTTAGTTATTTTATCTCCATTGTCAAATAATATGAGGCACAAATATGAATTTTAGTATGGCCAGTGTACATTCATGAAAAATATTTTTATAATATTTAGAGTGTGTTTGGGAAGCAAACATTTTAGCCAAAAAAACCATTAAAAAAGCCAAAAAGTTATATACAAAAAGGTCAAAGATTCCTTTTCTTCTATACTTTTTACACTTTTTTTTTAGCCAAATAGCCATTCCCACACTTCAATTTTTTCACCTCATATTTTAGCCAAAAAGCCAATTCCCAAACCAACCCTTAGTGGTATTGTATTATACATAAACTCAAAGAATGGAAATTAGTTTAAGAACCAATACCCAGTAGTTAGTTTACTTTCTAATTTTCAGTAGGTCCTGTAAAAATTTTATTTCAATATAGTATAATTTTTTAACTCTCTCTTGCGACTTTCACTTTTGCATTTAAGTTGTTATATGCAAAAGTGTTTGTATGCAAATTTTCTTGTTTATTTGTTGATATCCGAATTTAGTATTGTTATATTTTGCTTGTTATCCCTACTTTCTATGAAGTATGGATATAGATATGGGACACATGCAGGACACATTGATGCCAATTCAATAAATTATAACAAGTGGGGTACTATTTTTATCTTACTATTTTTTTTTCTTCTTCTCTGAGTAGTGACCAAAGTATTGAAAAATTATTCTCGTATTTATCTTAACAATTACACTCTAATGCTATGCAAAGAATTATTATGATTTCAAAATCATAATAGTTTTGGTACTTGGCCTAGAGTATTCGAAAAGTATTAGATATTTCTCAAAATTAAATAAAATTAATTTCAAATCATGGATATGTTTAGGAAGTATTGGATACGTATCCACGAAGACCCATCTTTTGCCAAATATAATATTGAAAAGCTTTGTGTAGTAGAAGCTGTGAGGCAACTGGAAGATAATGGGTATGTTTGGTTTGAGTTTGGGAGATGAGTTTTAGAAATAAAAGGTACGAAAAGTTGTTTGGTTTAGTTTTTTTCAAAAAATGTTTTGGAAAATTATTTTGAGAGAGAGTTTTGGAAAAAGTGATTGATTTGATGTATATGAGAGAGAGATTTGTTTGAAAAACTTGTAAACCAAACAAGTTTTGGGAAATTTTTTTGGAAAAATTTGTTTGGTTTGATTACTTTTGAAAACTTATTTGTAGAGAATTTTTCCCAAAATTGTTTGGGAAACACAAACCAAACATGGCCAATAAATTCACAACATTTGGAAGAATGGTTTAAAAGAATATAGAAGATAAAGCTTATAAAAAAAGAATACGAAGTAGATATTTTAAAATAAAACTAGTAGTGGTGCTTATGAGATCGTTGGCTGAATTGGTGTTAAAAGAAGTATATTCCTAGTTACATCTTCAGAAAAATGGTGAGTAATTCAAGTTACTTTCACTAGGCATGTTGATTAATGATGTGTTATTTTTTATTTAAATTTCAAAATAGAATAGGAATGGGAGTCCAATTACTCTGTTTCATCAAAAACAGAATGTGATAATCTTGTAGAATATCTGGAGTCCTACAAGTTTAAGAATCTCAAACCGAATATAGTTTTTGAGGGCAGGTTGGCTGTTGGTACTACTATGGAAGAGGTGTATTCCTGGTGACATGGTAGATATTTCGACTTAAATTTTTATATGCTTGTACCATGAAGTACCCTGGTGAACACAATATCCAATGGGATAACCTATACTTCAAAATAGTGGCAAAGCTTGTGTATCATATAGATCTGTTATCCAGACATGCCTGCACTCAGATGCTAATTCTGGAGGCCATGTTTTCATATTGTACACCTGTCCATATGAATCTGTTGTCCATATACCTGTACCGCAAGCTCATCTTGGAGTCCATATATCCATGTTATAGATCTTGCATATATTCTGCCTCCACCCCAGATGGCTTTGTTACTGCCGTTGTTATTATCATTGGTTATTATTAGTGTATTTCTTATTCTCTATGTTGAACTACTGCTTGTTTATGTCCACTTATGCTTCCCATAATATTCCCTAACATGGCCCTTTTCTCCTTCTCTATTCTCTCCTTCATTTGGCCTGCATAATGAACTTCTCATTGAAATATATAAAAATCACCTACTAAAAAACAAATAAATGATTTTTTTTTCTTATTCCATTTATCCTTTTTTTTGGGATCATTATATATTAAAGCTGACTTTGTTTCTCTGTGCCTTCATCTTTAGGGGAGGAGATAATCTCTGGAGCTCAACGTGTCCACGTACCCGAATTCTTGGCAACACGTGCAGAAGCCTGTGGAATTGATGTCAAAACTATATCAACATATATTGATTCTTTTGGGTATTTCTTCATTGACCATTTTGTCGTATATTCATTTGAGTTTTTTAGTTGCTTTATACTTAAAAAGTTAAAACAAGTTGCCCTACCACTCACCCACAGCCAAGAAAAGGGGTGGGGGTGGGGAATACCTCCCCCTCACTTAAGAAGAAAATATTAATGTGTGTCAATTATAACAGAATCATATTAAAAGAATCAAATTTCAGAAGTACTTCCTTTTAGATATGCTTCTTTAATTTTATGTTGGCAGTTGACCTGTACAAACTATGTGACATTTGAAGTTTGCTTTTGCTATTGCAAAAGACGTCAACTATTGAATTTTGGAAAGTTAGTTGGGATTGTTTCATGTTTTGAATTGATGGTGTGAGACTAGCCTCGTGTTAAATAAAGAAAAAAAATTCAATATATGATTACTAACTATGTGCACACTTCGGTGGCTTGTCTTCATAATTTGAATTTGTTATCTTTGTGCAAACCATTGTGTATAATACATCCATCTATTTAATTAGTTTGGTTTCTCGAACCATTACACATGAAATCTCAAAAATATTCCACGCTTAAAATTCGACCTTGTTAGGTGCTTTTTTTATCATTGTCATTGTTATTAATTATCATTAAAACATTTTTTTTTCCCCTGATGGTGATGTAGAAATTTCTTTTATGTGATACTAGTTACTGATATTATTGCATTTTCATGATCTCAATCTTGGCATGGTCTCTTATTGTTCTTTTGTTCAAATACTTTTTCAGGTAGCAATAAAATCAATTATGCATTCTATTTTATTTTATTGTTTTTCTTTCAAGTAAATGATATATGCAAATTGCAACTTTCAAATCATTGAAAATGGTCTGGTGGAAACACTCTTGACCTTTCATAATCAATTACTTGGTAGTCTAGTGATGTATGATAAAGTAGTTATGTTGTGGACATCCAAGTTTTCATGACTAAAAATGACGTGCCAGATCTGATTCATGGTTGTTCTTTTGCAGGTATGGTGCACCTCTGCATGGTGGATTTGGTGTGGGATTGGAGCGTGTGGTGATGCTCTTTTGTGCCCTAAACAACATCCGCAAAACATCACTCTTCCCTCGTGACCCTCTCAGGATTGCTCCATGACATTTTATTCTAGTAGCGTGTTCTGCCTGACTCTTTTTTGTCACCAAGATTGTTTCCTCTGGATGTTATTTTGTTGGAAATGTCTTACCAGATAAAATTTACTAGTTTTTCACTGGAAAAAGTAACATTTACATACATCCCAAAATTGTTCATCTTCATTATTATATACGCATGTTGTCCAATTGCATTGCATGTGGTCATTTGTTGTGCTGTGCAGTTTTTTCTGTTTCTATTTTCCTCATTGATTTACACCTAAGAAGTTATGTCATGCTCATATCAAAATAAAACCTAAAAAAATGTTATTAGGTCCTGAACTAGGCTACTTGTATCAATTACGTTGTCCCTCAAGTGCATAATTTCCTAATTCTTTGAACAAGAACTTCCTACTTTAGTTATTTATTTTCTTCAATTGTTAAATGAAACTTTGTGACAAATGATGGTATCAATATTACCATCATTTTTACTGCATTCGTCCCATATTAATAGTCGCTTTTGAAAATTTTAAACTTTTTAAAGAAATATAACCATTACATTTTGAATTCAAAATTTAAAGGGTTAATTTCAAAAATATCTTTCTATTCTTATTGTTAAATATATTTATAATGCAATTGAAGGCCTTGTCATGATTATGGCATCGATAAATGCCAAATTCCTTAATTGCATTACTCAAAACTTCCAGCGTCTAGCAGGTAGCTGAGAATCTTTACCGTTGGTTTTGAATTTGGATCGCATTTAGATTTGCTTGGGTTATATTTTGATTCAGAGTAATTAATGTCAGTTTCAGTGGGCAGATATTCATTGTGAAACAGAGTTGAGGTTTCATCAATTGTGAAGACTATGGATAGAGTTTACAATTTTGTTAGTGCCTCAGAGAATCATTGTTTGGCTACAGTTGGCTTCAAGCGGATGCTTAATCAGGTATGCAATGTCTTGGTTTATTCTACTAGAATGTGTAATGCACAATTGGTTATCAAACAGTTACCAAAATTATTACTTTCGAAGGAGTAAGCTGATTAATTTTAGAAATTAGTGGAGCTAGGACTGATATCATTTTAAATATGATCCCTGTGGTACCATCTGGTCTGTTATCTTCTAATGTTTAGTATCAATTTGTTTTATTAGGGTAACGGTCTTTAATCCTGCATTTTATATGCCTAGCAAACCAACTAGTATCATACATACTAGACATTGGAACTTGTGATTGCTTTTGATGAACTATTTCTTTTATAGGAGCATGCTTCTTACCAAATCCAGTTCAGTGTGCTGGAGAGGTAGTATCAGTGATAACTATTGTATTTTGCAATTTTGCAAATGGATTTGAGTGAGACCAAAATCCATCCAAATTCTAAATAAAAATGTTCTCTTCCATGTGATAATCCAACGGCCTATGTTTAAAGTTAATGCAAAACTATGTTGTTTTGGGGGTGTCATTTTAATGTCGTTTTACTTCAGTTTTAAGTCGAACCGTTTGTGACAAGATCAGCGTAGGAAAATTATGGAAGAGAAACTGGACTCGATCTCCCATTTCAAGTAACTTGGTTTTGTTGTGCTCTGGCAGTGTGGCAAATTTGGGCAAAGGGTTTGTCAAAAGCAGCCGATTTGTCCATGCAAAAGTTAAATATTTTACTCCAACCTATGTTATGCCTTTTTAAAATTCATTATAGTTTGAAGAATTCCTCCCTAAATCTATCACAATGTACTTCAAATTTCACACGAGAGAGGGAATACTTGAAATTTCTTGCAGAAAAATACCTCAAGATTTCCTTCATGACTTCTTTGAGATATTTATATTTTTTTTCTAGATCAAGGGCTAGAGGGTGTTTGAACGCCAAAAGAAGAGGGCTGCTATTAGCACCTACCTTTTTCCTTTGGACCTCCACCTCTTTTTTTTTTTTTTTTTTTTATTTCCAATTTTGTCCCAACATAAAATTCCACTTTTGCCCTCATCCATCATCTTCTAACCCTAATTTTCCAAACCCTAACCCTAACCCCTTTCAACTCCGGCTACCACCTTCACGGGCCGCCGACTAGCCTCTCACCACCAGTTGCCACCTCCATCTCCACTGCAATCGCGATCTCCACCCTTACCAATCGCGAACCCTACCGCCACTACAATCTCTCTCTCTCTCTCTGCGCATGGTTGGGTCGATAGGGTTTGGAGGCGTGATGGCTACGGGAACGACGATCCATGACCTCAAACCCTAGCCACCTCCATCGCCGTCGCAATCTAAGATCTCAACCCCAGCCGCCGTCGTGATTTGCAACCTCAAACCCTAGCTGCCGTCGTGATCTGTGGCCTCAAACCGTAGTCACCTTCGTTGCCATTGCGATTTGAGTTGGGATGAGTAGCAACCGACGATGGTGGCTAGGCAATAGGCGTACGCGAGAGAGAGAGAGAGAGAGAGAGAGGGCTTGCGACGGTGGCTCGCAGCGGCGGCTCTAGACTGAGGTTGTCTGAAGCTGCTGGGGGTGGTCATCTACGGAGGTCGCGGTGACGTTGACCGAAAAGTGGCGGCCAGAGCTGGCAATTGTTGGTTTGGGAAGGTGGGTTAAAGTAAGGGTATAGTTGGAATTAAGGTGGGGCTTCAAAGAGAAAATAGAGGGGTCTCATTTAACTGGGTGGGGGTTCATAGAAGTGGGGGGTCCAAAGAAGAAAGGAAGGTGCTAATAGCAGCACTCCAAAAGAATTCTCTTTGTTGATGTAAACATAAGTTTCTTCGCAGTTTGGGTTTTGATAATGGCCTCAAATCGGGGTAAACATATTCAGTATTTTGGTTTCAGTTTTTTGAATTCAATTTTTTTAAAATTAAGTTTTTTTTTTTGTTTTTCGTGTCTTTTTGTTTTTAGTGAATATTTTTTAAATTTTAAGTAATTTTTTACTTTTTTAGATACACTTTACTTAGATGTATCTAAATGGTAAAATATTTGTGAAAAAATATTTTAAAAAATTAATAAATACACAAAAATACGAAAATGTACTAAATTTTCGTTTTTTTTTGTTTGTATTTTTTGGTATTTAGTGTATTTTTTAAAGATTTTTTTCACAAATATTATATTTTTTAAGTGTGTTTATGTTAGGTGTATCTAAAAATTAAAAAAAAATTACTTAAAATATTAAAAAAATTCATTGAAAACATTAAAATACGAAAAATAAAAAAGTAAAATTTTTTGAAAATTATTTTTTAAAAACTGGAACCAAACAAGCTAATTGGTGTACGAGAATGAAAGTATAATAATTTACATTTTCCCGCTAGCTTGATCATATTATTATCTTTTATTAATTTGAATTTGAATAATGTTATCCTGCATAGCACGACTTTGAATCGTTTAAATGCTAGGTCGTTCCCCTCAAGTGACGCGTTGCGCCTGCCTCCGGGTGTTTCGAAAAGTGAGCAAGAGGCGCCGCATCGATGCTTGGATGCGGTGAAAAATGGGCAAAGGTTTCCGCTTTTTTCTGGACGAGCGCGGGTAAAGAAGTTAGTCCAAGACTATAGGTTTAGGATAGCCACTTGGAACATAGGAACCTTAACTGGTAGGACTATGGAATTGGTAGATGTTATGATTAGGAGAAGAGTTAGTATAACTTGCATACAGGAAACTAAGTGGACGGGAGAGAAAGCTAGGGAAATTGAGGATACTGGTTTTAAACTTTATTATAGTGGTAAGGATAGATGCAGGAATGGGGTAGGAATCATAATTGCTAAGGGTCTTGTGGAAAGTGTGGTGACGGTCACTAGGAAAGGAGATAGGATTATACTAGTTAAACTAGTTATTGGAGGGAATATAGTGAACATTATTAGCGCTTACGCCCCTCAAGTGGGGTTAGATGATCAGACTAAGAGGGATTTTTGGGAGCAAATGGATGAGATCTTACAGGAGATACCCGTAGGAGAGAACCTGGTTATAGGTGAAGATTTTAATGGCCATGTGGGCATGGATAAACTAGGTTATGAAAGGGTGCATGGTGGATACGGTTTTGGTGACAAAAATGAGGCTGGAGAGAGAATCTTAGATTTTGCGTTGGCTTCTGACCTGGTAGTGGCCAATACTATGTATAAGAAGAGGGAGGAGTATTTGATAACCTTTAAGAGCGGATTAGTTAAGAGCCAAATAGATTATTTCTTAGTGAGAAAAGTGGACTGTCTAAAATGTAATGATTGTAAGGTGATTCCTAGAGAGAGTCTGGTCTCTCAACATAGGATTTTGGTACTAGATTTATGTTTTAGAGGGCAATACCAAGCTAGGAAGGATGGCGGGCGTCGTAGGACGAGATGGTGGGACTTAAAAGGGGATAAACTAGAAATATTTAAGAATCTAGTGGATAAGGAAGGTACTTGGGACTTAGAAGGTGATGCTAACACTATGTGGAATTCGATGGCCAATTGTATAAGGAGAATCTCAAGGGAAGTGCTTGGTGGGTTGAAAGGAACGAGACCCAACTCTAGGGAAACTTGGTGGTGGAGGGAAGAGGTTTAAGCGGTAGTTAAGGCAAAAAAAGAGTGCTTTAAAAAGTGGCAGAAGGATAGAACTGAGGAAAACCTTAAGAGCTATAGATTGGCTAATAAGGAGGTCAAGAAAGTAGTGAGAGAGACTAAGTTGAAAGCTTATGATGACCTATACACTAGACTAGATAGTAAGGAGTGAGAGAAGAGGGTATACAAATTTGCTAAGATACGAGAGAGGAAAACAAGAGATTTTAATCAAGTAAAGTGCATTAAGAGTGAGGATTCTAAGGTATTAGTGAAGAATGATGAGATTAAGGAAAGATGGAAGAATTATTTTGAGAAACTGTTAAATGAGAAACATGGAAGTACGACAATAGGGGAAGAAATAACCAGTAATACGAAAAATCAAGACTATAGGTTTTATCGCAGGATTAGGAACTTTGAAGTGGAGATTGCACTTAAGAAAATGAAATCAAATAAGGCTTTAGGACTTGATGATATCCCCATTGAAGCTTGGAAGTGTTTAGGTAAAAAGGGAGTTGCTTGGTTGACTAGGTTGTTTAGCAAAATTTTGTTGACTAAGAACATGCCAAATGAGTGGAGGAAGAGTATTTTAGTGCCAATCTATAAGAATAAAGGTGATGTCCAGAATTGTAACAATTATAGAGGAATCAAGCTAATGTGTCATATAATGAAAGTGTGGGAGAGGGTGATGGAACACCGATTGCGAGACATAACAGAGGTGTCAGAGAATCAATTTGGGTTTATGCCTGGTAGGTCAACAATGGAAGCGATCTATCTTTTGAGGAGAGTAATAGAAAAGTATAAAGAAAAAAAAAGAGACATTCATATGGTGTTTATCGACCTTGAGAAAGTATATGACAGAGTGCCCCGAGATATAATATGGTAGGTGTTAGAGAAGAAAGGGGTGACAAAAGGCTACATTGACGTGATTAGGGACATGTATGAAGGGGTAGTGACCACTATTAGATTGCCAGCTGGAGATACAAATGAATTTCCTATCACTGTAGGGTTACACCAAGGATCTACCTTAAGTCTTTATCTTTTTGCTTTAGTTATGGACGAGTTGACGATAAATATTCAGGATGACGTGCCATGGTGTATGCTTTTTGCAAACGATATTGTGTTAGTGGATGAGACTAGAGAAGGAGTTAACACAAAGTTGGAGATTTGGAGAAAAGCTCTTGAATCTAAAGGATTTCGGATAAGCAGAACTAAGACAGAGTACATGGAGTGTAAATTTAGTAACAGTAACAATGAAAGCAGAGGAGAAGTGAATATTGAGAACCAAGAACTGCTTAAGAGTGAACATTTTCGTTATTTAGGGTCGATTATCACAACAGCAGGAGAGATTGATGCAGATATGGCCCATAGGATTAAGGCGGGATGGTGTAAGTGGAGAAGTGCGTTTGGGGTATTGTGCGATAAACGAATACCCACTAGATTAAAATGTAAGTTTTATAGAACGACTATTAGACCAGCTATGTTGTATGGGACGGAGTGTTGGGCAACCAAGAAACAACATGTGGATAAGATGAGTGTGGCTGAGATGAGGATGCTAAGGTGGATGTGTGGTAAGACTAGACAGGACAGGATTAGGAATGAGTGTATTTGGGAATGGGTAGGAGTAACATCGATAGAAGATAAGTTGAGAGAGAATCGTTTGAGATGGTTTGGTCATATTCAACGGAGACCAACAAAGGCAGTAGTGAAGAGATGCGATACTGTAACGGTAGATGAAAGTGTTAGGGGACGGGGTAGACCTAGATTAACATTGACTAGCATTATAAATAGAGATATGAATCTACTTAATTTGACTAATGAAATGGCATTTGATAGGGCCGCGTGGAGAAGAAGGATTCATGTAGCCGACCCCATTTGATGGGACTTAAGGTTTGGTTTGGTTTGGTTTATTGAAAACATTAAAATACGAAAAATAAAAAAGTAGAATTTTTAAAAATTATTTTCTAAAAACTGGGACCAAACAAGCTGATTGGTGTACAAGAATGAAAGTATAATAATTTACATTTTCCCGCTAGCTTGATCATATTATTATCTTTTATTAATTTGAATTTGAATAATGTTATCCTGCATAGCACGGTATGTAAAAAATTAATAATATATTTTTATACAAAATAATATTAATAGTTAAATTTTTGTATGCAAATTATGAAAACAAACAAGATTGAAATTTACAAGTTAAGTTCCACAATTTTATCACAATTTATTTATTATTTTTTAATTTGTCATAAATTTAATCATTTAATTTTCAACTGCCTTTGCTACAATTGCAAATTTAGGTGAATTTAACCCAAACAAAATCTAAGGAATGAATATTGGTCTCATTTCAATTATAGCAATATAATTTAAGTAAGAATCCAAATGTGAAATTTTATTTTAGGATAAATTAAAAATACACCCCCCTGAGGTTTGCTTAAAGTGTAAATTATCCCTTATGGTTTGGAAAATTACAACACCCCCTTGTTAAAATTTTTTATTTAACAAAATTAACTAAAAATATAAAATTCATAATTACTCTCTTATACAATAATAAAATTATCTAAATTGATAATTGAAATATGTTTCTAACATCATTAAAAGCTGTTAATTAATTTGATGATTTATTAATAAAAGGGGGGATTTGTTATGAAATTAAAAATCTCAAAGGTGGAATGTAATTTTCAGAATTACAGGGGCAATTTGTATTTTAATCAAACCTCAAGGGGTATATTTGTAATTTATCCTTTATTTTAAGAATATAAAATTAATTTATAGACCAATCATATTGTAATATGTATTAACAACAAATTAAACAAAATAAAAAAAAATGAGAAAAAAAAATTACAACTTTCAACCTTAATGAAATGACAATATTTTGTAATTATAATAGTATATATATAGATAAATTATAGAATAGATCATTATTTAAAACTTATATATTATGGGATAAATTATTATAATTTTAAATTTAAATTAATGGAATGTTTTTCATATTTAGTGCCCTCAAAATACTTTATATTTTTTATTTTATATATATAGTTATATGATATACTTTATATTTGAAAATCATAAATTCAGAGATATTAAATATATATATATATATATATCAATATATGCTTGAATGAGAGCTAGAGAGGATTTTTTAATTATTTAAAATTAAAAAATTAGAAATTTTAGTTTGAGATATTGGAGTTCCCACAAGACTTGTGGTTATAAACTCTTTTTTACTTATATAATAGATAGATAGATAGATAGATCATTCGGCCAAACACTTTTTCCTCACAACTCAATGAACGGTAGAGATCGTACGGGGCCCATAGATGATCAACAATGCACGGCTTCCTCGAATCCAATCTCAACCATGGCTTACCTTTGCCACTCCAATGTAGTAGGCTGATAGGGCCTGGATGGAGACGTCTACATCTTCCTTCAAAATTGTCACCACCCAACCCATGTTGGTTCCATCTATGATCAATCGCCTTTATATTCCCAGCCATCACAAGCAAAAAAGGTGGCAAAGACCCTAAATGGTATATCCTCTTCTGCTTCTGCACTGCCATCCACTCCTCAACCTTCCGTGTATACCCTCCTCTCCTCCATTTACCTATATCTATCACCATCACACCGGTGTTGAAGTAACACGGCCTTCTTCCTTCAAATGTTCTTGTCAAACTCTTGTCTAACCAAAATCTGTTGGTGAAATAGGTTGTAAAGTTCGCGTGACAGTATTCCGGTGCAGCAATCACCTTGTCACCCAAATCCACTTCCCAACTTATAAATATTTATATTTGTTTTAGATTTTTTTTAATATATAAATTATGTTTTTTAAGATTTTTTATAAAAATAATTTAACAATCTTATCACTAACCATAATATATGGGAGAAGTTGAAAAGGGTACTGTAGTAACTATACGCAGATTGCGTCTATAATTATTTGTATGAGGGATGTTAAATGCTGAACAGGGGATTTTGACCAAATCAATAAATGCAGGCATGTGGAAAGACATGCGGATTGAAAAAAGTTAATAAATACTGATCAGGGGATTTTGACCAAATCAATAAATGTTGAGTTTTTTTTTTTAATAAGAAATTTCGAAAAAAAAAATTAGAAAATTAAGATTGAGATATTGGAGCTCCCACAAGACTTTTGGGTTTAGATAGATAGATAATAGATAGATAGATAGATAAATAAATAGATTTAATAAGAATTTATATTTGTTTTGAATATTTTACAAAGTGTTTTTTTTTAGATTTTTTATAAAAATAATTTAATAATCTCATCACTAACTATAATGTATGAGAGAAGTTGAAAATAGTGTAAAAAATAGATATGGGAGAAGTCAAAAGGCTTGTGGGTTGGGAGAAGTCAATAAATGCTAAGATTTTTTTTTTAAATCAAAAAATTAAAAAATTAAGATTAGAACATTGGAACTCCCACAAGGTTTGTGGATTAGAAACTCCATTTTCTTATATAATATACTAGCCTATCACCCGTGCTATGCACGAGATAATTATAGATATTTATATTTATTTTAGATTTTTTTTAATATACAAATAATTTTTTTTAGATTTTTTATAAATATAATTTAACAATCTTATTATCACTAACCATAGTGTATGGGAAAAGTTGAAAATGGTGCTACAGTAATTATGCACGGGTTGTATCTATAATTATTTATATGCAGAGATTTTGACCAAAGTTCTCAAAAGGCATGTGGAAAGGAAAAAGTTAATAAATGTTGATCAGAAAATTTTGACCAAATCAATAAATGCAAGCATGTGAAAGGCACGTGAATTGAAAAAAATTAATAAATGTTGGTTAGGGGATTTTGACCAAATCAATAAATGTTGAGGTTTGATTTTTTTTTTTTTAAATAAAAAATTTAAAAAATTAAGATTGAGATATTGAAACTCCCACAAGGCTTGGGGATTAGAAACTCCATTTTCCTTATATGTAGATATAGATATAGATATAGATGTACTAATTAGTGTACGTACTAGTGTACTAACCGATAATGTGACACAATTTTAGAAGTTCTAAGTATTTATAATTTATATAATAAATAGAATCATTAATGATATCATTAGTACACTAATATATACACTAATTAATATACGTAACACTATCGTTTTTAATTTATACTTTTGTAGTTTAATGAGTTTTGAATTTTTTTTTATTAATTTAAAAAATGTGTTGTGAAGTTGATGAGATTAACGTCTAGGATTGCTGTCTCTCTTACCATGGGATGGGCTGAGTGAGTGATGTGGCAAGTTCCACGAACAATAGATGAAGTGTCAACTTTTAACTGGTGGGGGGCTAAACATCACCGTGTTGACAATGTTTCTGACCCATTAAATAATTTTTCGGAAAAATTGCAAATTAGGGACAGTAAAAGAATATTTACACTTTCATGGGCGTGCAAGTGTTCTGTATGCATGGTGCAAGTCCTTATATTTGGTGCAACACCTTACAATTTTTCCATCACCACATGTCTGAGTTCAGATGTTCTAAATTTTTTTTAAAAGATATTGAATTTTTTTGAAAACGTATTACATTTAGGACTTACAAATCTTAAGCATCTTGTACTAACATTAGGAATTCTCATCTTTTTTGTCAAGAAAAAAATGAACTTGACTGCTGAGGCATGGTTAGGGATTGGTCCAAAAACGATTTCACCCGGGTTCGATCCTCCATCGCCCTTGGTTAGGGACAAAATCAGAAATTTATTTGCGGGGTGCCAAGATATGAATAATTTCTTTTTATATGAATTGATATAAACTACTATTTTTTTTTGAATTCAAAAAATAAACAAAAATTTGATATTAAATTAGTACGTAAAAAATAAAACAATCATATATTTAGTGAATTTAATATATGAATAAAAGTAAAGTCACGTATTACATAATTCTTTATACAAGTCAATTCAATTATCTATCAAAGTAGAACTCCACGTTCTTTCATATCTTGAAAGTCTTCAATGATTGACACTGTAGTAAAATTTTCAGCAATTTCCTTTTCAATGTACACAAGCAAAGAGTATGTAAGAAATTTATTTTCCATTTTGTTACAATTAAAAGAAATTTCATATAAATTTAAAAATTCAAAATTCAAATTGAACACATAAATTATGTACAAGTCTCATTTCATTTTAATTTTGAATTTATAATACTTAATCTGAATAAAATTAAGTTTGTCCAAATATGATTTAAAAAAAAAAAACCTAGTAATTGAAATCTTATGTCCTAATTCATGAATTTTTTCTTAATATGTAAAATTAAAAAAATTCTAATTGTATCAACATGACTTTTAAAAAAGGATAATAAAAAGATTACAAATTGAAAACAACAATAAAAGAAAATATAAAGAGTACTGCTATTAGCACCTTATAAATTATTTTGAACCCCTCAATTTTTGACCTTTTTTTTAATTATAATAATAACATCAAATAAAATTACTAAAAATAATATCATTAATTTTGGAACACCCTATCTCACAATTAAATCTACACACCTACTACATTATGAATTAGGGTTTATGAGAGCTCCTACCTCCATCATCACCCATCCATCTTTCCTAAATCTCACCTTCAAAACCTATCCACCCTCAAAATATTAAAAATCCTAATATTTTGAAATTTGATTTCTAATTTCTTTTGGTACAAGTATAACAATCCAGGAAGTGTGGACTCCTAATTAAATGCTGCCAAAATTGCATACTCAAATTTGTGAGACTTTTGAGCCCCGCTTTGCATTCTAACTTGGACTAAATAATCACATAAGGATGAAAAAGAGCTACAAAATCATAAAATGTCAAAAAAGTTGAGTTGGAATACAAAATTACCAAAATGACTCATATACAAACAAAAAGTCAAATCATCATCTCTGATTTATTTGCTCATCATTGAATCATCATCATCATCATATTTGCATTTCTATTATTTGCGATTTCTTTGGGTTTGTTCATCGTCGAATCACCATCACCATCACCATCATCTGCAATTTCTTTGATTGTGCTCGTCATCAAATCACCATCATCATTTGCAATTTATTTGAGTTTGGAGACTTTGAAGCATGAGCAACTTTTAGAGTCGGATATAAAAAGTCTATCTAGTTTTCGGAGTCGGTAATTTTTTGTGAATTCACTGCTTTCCCCAATTTTAGGTTGTTAATTTAACTAGGTTTTAGTTTCAATGAAATGGGTTTGGTTTGATTATCGATACTTGAGTCTTCTTTAAGTACTTGTCTCTGCTTCATTTTTTTTTGGGAATAATATTTGCAAGTTTAAGGGGTTGTTTGGGGTGGTATAAATAAGTACACTTTTTGTCTTTTTGGACTAAAAAGTTGAGAAAAAAATATGAATGTTTGGGTTAACTTTTTGACTTTTTATGAAAAAATGTGTATTAAAAATTGTATAAATAAGTGTATAGGAAAAGTTTTAGTGAAGTAGACAATACGGCCCGTACAGTTTGAGCAGAGTAGTGGCTGAGTAGGAGATACGAAATGGTTATCTCCTTTTCGGGCTTGAATTGGACAGCGTTGTTTGGCCTATGGGGGCCACTACGGGTCCCGTTTTGCTAATCAGAACCGTCAATGTATAGAACTCGTCGATTACTATATGCTTGAGAAAAATCACGTTAATCGGATATCGATAGCTATCTGATCGTATTAGTTTTTTGTCAACCGTTAACTATAACACCATTTTTTTTTGTACAAAACTGATTTGATCATATAATTAGCGATATCCAATCAATATGATTTTTTACAGGCATATAGTACATATTGAACGGTTCAAATTATCAAAACAGGACCCATGATAAATCCCCATAGGCTAAACAGCACTGTGTTGTTTGTGCACCCCGCTTATGCAATTTTTTCAAAAAAGTCTGTGGGGGAGACAGGCACGAGTAGTAATAATTAAGTATAAAATTAATTTTTTTTTGATAAATAGTGATAACTTTTTAATTTTTTAAATAACTTTTTGACTTTTTAACCTTTTTCATGTATCCCAAACCGGGCCTTAACCTGAGCTATCATCTCATCATTGATGGGATTTTGTGCCAATGAACTACTAATCATGACCCTCAATTCTTTTTTTGTTAAAAAATACTACTAAACTAAGCATGAGTAATGCAACAGAAATCCGTTTAGTTTTTGTAGGACAAATCATTTGATAACCAAAACTCATGTATACATTCTTCTAGAAAATACGTGCAATAAAGAACGTATAACTTTTCAAACTTTCTTAAAATATATTAAAGCACACATTAACAATACCCAAAAATAAATACCCATAGAGGTGACTCAAACAATCAAACACTCTTGACACAACCCATTATAAAATGAATAATGCTAAACACTTACATATTTGACCCACAAATTCATCCACAATAATATGACAGGAAAAAAAAGCCCTCAATTATTAGGTATATAACAAATTAAATATTCACATCTATCCGGCCATATTATTGTGAGTATAATTGTAAAAGGTTTTTTTTTGAATCTCAAACATTTTCCTTATAAAATTCAAGCTGGCACCATTATATGTCAGACCCTATAATGCTTAATTATTCCCCCATCTAGGATCAGAGTGACCACATCGCACATGATGCTTGCTTACCCAAAAATAAAAAAGTAAAATCACAATCAAATCAAAAGTTTCATTAAAAATGCAAAAACATTGCATCCCATTCAATTCAGTAGGGTAGCATGGAATTCAACAAGATAAAACTAAAACAAAATTAATCCATAAAGTCAAAACCTTCATAAATAAAAAGACATAATGAGTCTCTGCATCAAATAAATCCAAAGCCTAGCACTAGAGCAGAACAAGCATTGCTTTTCAAGGACGAGGAGGACCTGCTGCTCCAGCAGGGCGTGGTGCTTGACCTGGCTTGGGCATATCATCCTGACACCAACGAAATAGGGCAAAAAAAGAAAGAAAGGAAACTCACATTACAAATAGTATAGAAAGAAAACTAAACCATTTGAAGTAAACTAAAAGAAGCCTAGCAGGTTAGCTTTTAAACCAGAAATGCAACACTAATTACAACAATTGATAAATGGGAGCATGACGATCTAGAAAGTATCTGGGAGCATTCATTTCAATCTACAACATATTTATAAACAGCTTCAAACTGGTCTGAGATAGTTTAATTCACATCAGTTATGCATTTACTAAAATAATGCATGTTATATATCAGTGATGAACAAAATTTCATTAGTGTGAACAAGCACACAAATATGTGTGTATACATCATGTGTCAGTGTGTGTGTATGCGAGAGAGAGAGAGAGAGAGAGAGTTGCCCTGCATAAACTATAAGGTTTGGAACAAGGACTTATTTAAAAACCCTATCAACGGACATGCCTGAGTAAAAAATAACATGAACCACTTAATTCACTTTTAAAGCTTGTCCATGATGAAGTCATCTAACCCCCAAAAAAGAAACACAAGATTAACCTCGTAAATCAAATAATTGAAGTCAAAAAGTTAATAACAAATTAATTAGAAACATTTTCCATGTAAGCTTCTTGGGGTGGTATCACGTATAGTTATATCGTTACAAGAAAATAAATCGGTAAAGATGCCAAACCAGTACTGCTCTTTCATAGACCATGGATGTTCAGAAGACAGAAGTAAGAAAGACACAGATGAAAAACAAAGTACCATAACAGCTAATTCTAGAAAAGCAAGACTCAACAACCAATGAAACTCTGTGCACACATACAAAATGAAGCTCAACAAAAAGTATCGACGTTGAATAGTAATAATAAGCTTCTTTGGTAACAACCATGCCTATGATATAAAACTCACTCCACAAACAAAATAAAACGCTTGAGCAGTTAGGGGCATATTCATCCTGTTTTAATGTCCTACAACTAGGGCTGCAAACGAACCGAGCTGTTTGTGAACAAGCTCGAGCTCAGCCTGATTACTTAATAAACGAGCTCGAGCCAGAATTTTAGGCTCGTTTTCTTAACGAGCCGAGCCGAGCCGAGCTGAGCCCGAGCCTAGCAAGGCTCGGTTCGGTTGGGCTCGCAAGCTTGGGTATATATGTTATGAAATTAGGGTTTCACTCCTAAAAGCTGCTGCTCCTTCCTAGAAGCTGCTGGGGTTTTCTCTTCACTCTAAAAAAAATGTTGCCACTACTCAAGTTTTTCCTAATTCAAATAACAGAGAGAGATTGTTCTACAACCTTTGTCTGCTACTCCTTCCTTGTTTTCTTATTTTTCATCTCTATTTCAAGAGATTTGGTCTCATCTCATCTCTCTGTAGACAAATTTTGGGGCTAGGCTTACAACATCGAATCGAACGAAACACTGTGCTGAATATCAACGTTTCTTAGTTCTGGTAAATATTTGGGACCAGAAGATAAAATCTTCTCTTCAATCCTTTGTGGTAAGTTTTCTATTCCTTACTTTTGTTCTTCAATCTTAGGGTTAGTTTCTTCTTCTTGATAAAATATTTTCTTTGTTCTTGTTTGTGGGACTATCCTTCTTCATATGTTTCATTTATTTATTAAATTTCTATCTCTGATGTCCTTTCATATGTCTCTCTGTATTTAGATAATTTACTCTGAATGTATAGGAGTGAGAGAAAGAAAAAAATTGACTATTAAAAGGAAGAGGAAAAAATACACAGGAAGGCTGCTCTGTTTTTGTGCTTGTATATGCTCATACAAGCATATATGTATAATTTATATGTCATCTGAAAAATATGTTCCCCAGGAAGGCTATTCTGTTTTTTATTCTTGCACTGAGTTGCCAAACAATTAATACAATATTGCAAACCCAATAAGCCCCTTTTGTAATAATTGTTTTGTTGATCCTTGTTGGAACTTATTTGTATTTGAATCATTTTTCTAAACAACAGACAGAGAAGAGAAAGCACGTTTGCGTTTGTGAAACTGAAAAGGGTATAATGAATTTAAATCCCAATTTTGTGAATGAAAAAGTCAAAATAAATTATTCATTTCGATCTTGTACTTTAGCATGTTGAAGTTGAATTGCATGACTCAAGATATCAAAGAGTAACTTGAATTGCATGTTGAAGTTGAAGAAAACCATGAGTAATGTACAGGTTTGTTGTTTAAGAAAGAGAGAGGAGAGAGAGTTTTTAGAAAGAATGTGTGGGTTTGCTATTTTAGAGAAAGAGAGAGGGGGGGGGGAGAGAGAGGGAGGGGGGGAATGTATAGATAGAATGAGAGGGAGAGTGGTGAACCAAGCCTTAAAATCATGTTTTTGAGTTTTTTTTTATTTTAGTTATTGTAAGTTTTTAAATGTTTTAAATATTTTTTTTTACATTTTAAATTGAAAAAAAATTACAAATACTT